ATGCAGCCAAATAACCTGTTATAGGATACCCATTGCACTGTACTGATTTCAGAAATTCCTCCGGCCGATGCACATGCTTGGACTGACTCCCAACCCCTCTCTGGGTCTTTGCCCTGCACTTATCTTTCTGAGAGCCGGGGATGTAAATCCATCTCTGATGCAAAGGAGGGGCACCTAGGCTGGCTCAGAGGTTCCTGCCGTCGTGAGATCACTCGGAGTCAACTACGAGAAAGAAAACCACACACAATGTCTGAGTAGTGTGGCACGTGGCCCCAGCCCCAAAGATCCCTCTACTCACTGTCACTGAGGCAGGTCCTCGGGTCGCTGGCTCTGACTGGAGTCACACGCTGTGGCTGTCATCTTCTGGGATACCTGAGCGAGCGAGAGACAAAATTAGAGGGCATTTCTGAAGCTGCCGTGGATCCCCGCTCCTCCTGCTGCCTCCCCGACTCGCCTCCAATGCCTGGATGCTCCCAAAGGTTAGCCGGATGGCACCTGTGATCACTAAAGCTCAGTGCTTCGTTGCTCATCCTTTTAATACTCAGAGATTACCTACAAGGACAGCTCGAGAGGACCGAACCGTGCTCATCACCTCATTGTGAGTTGGCTTCAGCCCTGTGAGGCTGCGTACATCTCCTGCAAAATAACCCAGAGGCAAATGCCAGTACTGAGATACTGTCCAAGAGTATGCTGCTCCCATGGCAGTTTCTGTCTGACACCCCTTGACCGTGTCCTCTTACAGGCAGGGTCCCCATCACGTTGGACTGTACATTAGAAGTCGGTGCACTGCCTGTAAAACAAAAATACAAGTATGTACACAGATTCACCAAAAGTACACCACCTGCAAAACAGCATCTAGTTCTGTCCTGCAGTCACTGCTCACCTTGCTCACTGGGCTCACCTTCCCTCTGGTGCCTATTGTCTGCTGGGCTGGGGGCTCCACATCTTAAAAAAAAGAAAGAAACAAACAAACAAAAAAAACCAAAATAACAAAACTAAACCACCAAACCATCCAAATGATCAAGTAAACCTAGGCCCAAAAGTCATGTCTTCGCTCTGACCTCACATGACAACCCACCTTCTCACTGTGCCCCTCTGGCCTATCTGTTTATCTCTGCTTTACATCCGGTCCCTCTGACACTGCAAAGAAATGAGTTACCAAAGTCAGCCGGATGGACCTTGAGACCTGAACGGCTCTGCCTGCACACCCTACTCCACTGAAGAAAAGTAAACTGCTCCTCCTACGTGTGCCAAGGGCCTGTTAGGGCAGACCCTTTCCCCTCTGCTAATTTGAAAATCCCTCCCTCCTAACCATAACATTGGACCCAGCTCTCATCCCCTCTCCAGGTGGTAGTCCTCCACTTATCTTTCCCATAGCTGGGGATGTGAATCCATCTTTGATGCAAAAGGAAGGATGCCTGGCTGGCTCAGAGGGTCCTGCGATCGCTGACTCGGTCAGCTACGAGAAAGAAAACTGAAATTGAGGCAAGAGTTCGGCAGCACATGGGCAACAACCCTGCAATTGGCTACTCACCGTCCCCTGAGCTGAGAGGTTCTCGGGCCACTGGCTCCAACCCGAGTCAAAGGCTGCTGCTGTCACCATGTGCTGTACCTGGGTGAGGGAGAAAATAAGTTACATGGTGTTTCTGAAAGTAAGGGAGACCCCAGCACCTCCTCACTACCTCCCTGACTCCACCTGAATGCTCCTCCTTTGCCAAAGGCAGGTCGGAGGGCACCTGGGACCAGAAAAGGTCGAGCCTTAATTGATGAGCCTCGTAGTACTAGGAGATTACTGATGAGGACAGCTAAGGACCATCAAACCTAATTGGCAGGTGGCTCCAGCCCTCTGAGGCTGCACACATTCTCTGCAAAGTAAAAAAGCCAAAGGCAAATGTACATACTGAGATACTGCCTGAAAGGATGGCTTTCCTGGGGTACCTCCTACCTACCTCTCCTCCACAGTGACCTCTTACCAGCAGGGTCCCTGAAGCATTGGACTGTCTGTGAGAAGGTGGCAAAACCCCTGGAAAACACAAGAAACAAAGCATGTGCACACATTCACCACAACACCTGTAAAAGACCAGCTAGTTCTGGCCTGGAGTCGATGCTCACCTTGCTCACCGGTGCTCACCCGGATCACCTCCCCTCCGGTGCCTAGAGCCTCCTGGGCTCAGGGCTCTGCATCTGAAAACAAAGAAAAAACAAAGCAAAACAAGAAAATCCTTAACACATCAAGTAAACGTGGGGACAAAAGCCACAGCTTTGTGCTGATGTCAGGTGATGACCCACCTTATTCCTCTGCTCCTCTGGTCTCTTTTCTGTTTAGCTCTGCTTTACAACCTGTCCCTCTAGCATTGTAAAGAAACCCTAACCAAAGTCACCCAGATACATAGGGAGAGCTGA